CAGGCAGGCGCTTTTGCCGCTGAGCTAAATCCCCAGCCCCAACCACCTGCTTATTTCTTATAAACACATATAAATCCCCACATTTCTTTCTTCACTGTAAATGTCCTGGGAACATTTAAACATGAAGTGTGCCTTGTTGAGATGTCAGGCCATCTCCTGTCTAGATTCAGCCTGTGCAGTAGAAATATCTTCTCCTGGTCTTGAATTGCTATGAAGTCCAAGCATCTGCCCCAGTTTAGGCATTTCGCTTGCTTTGTGGTCTGATTTTCAGGTTGCTTTTTCCCCTTCCTGATTATCCTTTCCCTTCTTTCACTTCAACTCAAAATAAATCCTCTGGATGAATTGTGTTTTCTGCCCAAAATAGAGACCATTTTAATGGGTCCCTTGACGGTGAGAAAGATGGTAGACCTGGGCAGGAATGACTGAGCAATTTTTCTGTTATTTACAGTTATTTTCACCAGTGATTTTCAGAATCCAAACATTGGTATCAAGTATGGAATGAAAAGAAGCAGGGTGACCCCTGGACCCGGCAGACTTTCCTTTGCTAATCCTGCGGCTCCCCTTTGTGTCTTTCTGGCCTTGACTCTCCATGGGGAAACTGCTGGCTCTGGTTATCATCACTTTGAGCAGTGCTGTGACTGCATTACGGAAAAGGTGTTTTGCATCCTGGGGCCAGGAGAGAAGCGTCTTTGTTTTATTAGCCTGACAGTTCGTAGCAACCTGAATTGAAATTGATGTGATCAGGACGGCGGTGCCGTATCTGCTGATTACCTAGATAGGAAGAATATTGGCGGACAGAGCCTGGCACAAATGTTCCCTTAAATCTGATTGTTCTGGCTGGCGGGAAGCTGAACCCCTTCCAGCATGAATTTCCCAGTAGAATTACAATGAATGATGAGAACTTAGAGATAAATGAAAAGTAAGAAAATCCATAAATGAATTAATAAGGAACAGAGATGAGCAACTGATGAGGGGGGATGACAGGGGCAGAATACAGGGAGCACACACCTGCTCACACTCGAGGCTGACAGAGAGGATACCGCTCATTCTCTCCATGCTGCTGCATGCCAACTCCCCACTACTGCCATATGTGTGTTCAGTTTAAGCTGTTCTAGTAGAGGCAGACTATGCAACATATGAGTGCATGAAGGGCATACAGTTGATTGGTTTTTATGGTAAATACAGGAGGAGGCACTATTCACATTAAAACCAATCATTCTGTTTTTGTTCACATTGGAACGTGGCTGAAAATGGTTCCCTCTCTCCGCTAGGACTACATGGGTGTACGGGATGAGACAGGGAGGTGTTCAGGACTATATGTTCAGGGACAGAAATCTGAGGTTTAGTTGTTGGAAAATAGAATTTTCTCTTAGTGGAAGTTGCTCATTGAACATGTACCCTGTTCAAGAGGAACAAGAAATGTGAGCCAGGAAAGCCAGCAAGAGCGCAAACATATCAGAAATGTTGTCTTTTGTTGTTGTTGTGTTGTTGATGATGATGATGATGATGATGATGAAATACAATAGCTAATAGTTTGGGGCACCATCATATGCAAAGTCTGTTTCAAGAACTTTATGAACTGCCTCATTCAATCTACGTATTAATTTCAAGGTATGGGGTCTAAAATCACTTCTCTCCCAACAAGCGAGTACAGTTTGAGCGAGTACACCCCCAGGTACAAGATTATAAATCTAGTGAGCAGCAGAATTCGAGTACACGGGAATATTGAAGAGTAGGCAAGTCTCCCTGAAAGATCAGGATCTAGGATTATAGTTGATTGTGAGTGAAGAATAGTATCAAAATTAAAGGACACTAGAGGGCAGGATAAATAGTGTTAGATTTTGCCCCACACAGAACAAAAAAGCAGTCTAGGAGAAGCTCAGTGTAAAGAGATCCAGCAGTTGATTGTTCGAGGCCTCTGTACCACTTTCTGACTCAAGGCTTATGTTATACCTAAGTCCAACCAGTAATTGCACCTGGCTCCCAATTTTGGTGTGTCTTGTGTGTAAGGAAATTTTGGTGGGTTATGTATTTAGTACACTAAGACCAATGTATCAAACTTCTGCTATTCCTGAACAACACAAGCATTCAGTGGCGTCATGTGGGTTGAGTAACAGCATGCTTGGTAGCGGTCAGAGCAAAAGAGATGTGATGAGAGTGTCCGTGACATTCCGTTCCCAGTGCATTTGTGTGGTGTGGATGATGAAAAGGAGTCTGACAGCTTTGGACAATACCCTCCCTCCTTGGGGAGGGAGTATTAATTAATGATGATGAAGAGCACTTTGGCTTAATGGGCAATGACAGTTCACCCCAACTGAGTGTAACGGGTTGTGCTGGGAGTGAAGCCACCTGGCTGACAAAATCGGAACGCACAGGGATGTGCGCATGTGAGAGTGAGTCACAGTCGGCATCCTGAGCAGCACCGGTGTGCATCACGGGGATTTAACCAGGGAGCAGCGGACTGTCCTGTCACACACGGAATGTCTGTGTGTGACCTCTCTTTAAAAAGAGAAAACTCAACAGTCATGATGATGCAGTTCTGAGAGAAAACTTTGCTTTCAAATGCCAGGGTAAGAGGTAGAGAGGGAAAAGATGGTCTCCAACACAACGTATATTCATTACAGCATGTAGAATAGGCTGGTATCTCTGGATGAGAGTATTGCTTGATCAGGGCAACAGGCAGAGAAAGGACATTTCCACCTGTTTTGTCAAAGGGCTTCCCCAATTGCAGAAGCATCCCTGCTCTGTCTGCTTATGTATCCTCTCTGGCTGGAATATTCTTTACAAGATAAAAATATGCTAACCCCAATCCAAAAGAAATCATGGTCTTGGAGAAATTCTCTTGCTTGCTATAATTGTTCTATCTTTTTATTTTTTCAAATTTTTTTCATTGAGGATTTGTGACTTAAGATTGAAAGGTGGGAGTAATCAGCTCTCAGCAGCATCAGAGGAGAAATAAGCAAAAACAAAGACCCTTGGATCAGAGTCCTCCCACATGGAACACTTAAAAGATTGGTGCAGGAGAGAACTGTCAAAGTAAGCATGAGAAAAGGGGACATACCTGGGGTTCTTCTTTTAAATAACATAAGAAATCCAAATCCCCAGCACATAGAAAACTCTAGTTTGCCAACAACATTTGTGAAT